GGAGAGAGAGAGAATAATGAATCCCTGTCCCATTTCCCTCACGAACGACCTCCTCCCCCCCCTACCCACACACACAATGCATAGTATATACGAACTTTCCGTGCGCCCAGGCCGTAACGCTACCATTACACCCCCATTCCCCCCTGCCCCATCTCCCCCCCTCTTTCCTTAGCCTCATCTCTCTACACTCCCCGCCCCCTTCTTTCCCCAACCCCTCCAACACACACACACACACACACACACACACACACACACACACACACACACACTCACTCACTCACTCACTCACTCACTCACTCACACACACACACACACACACACACACACACACACACACACACACACTCACTCACTCACACACACACACACACACACACACGAAGCCCTTCATGAACGTTCCAGAAACTTCAGCCGCAAATCGCGTTACGTTCCATCACAGGCCGGCAGGAGTTGCGAGGATTTAGACATCATCGCGCTGCTGGGATGAGAGCGAGATGGAAGCGCTGGACGAACTGAAAGGAGAGAGAAAGAGAAAGAGAAAGAAAGAGAAAGAAAGAGAGAAAGAGAGAAAGAGAGAGAGGAGAGGGAGAGAGATGGAGGGAGGGAGAGGGAGAGAGAGAGAGAGAGAGAGAGAGAGACAGAGAGAGAGAGAGTGAGAGAGAGAAAGAGAGAGAGAAAGAGAGAGAGAAAGAGTGAGAGAAAGAGAGAGAAAGAGAGAGAAAGAGAGAGAAAGAGAAAGAGAAAGAGAAAGAGGAAAGAGAAAAGAGAAAGAGAAAGAGAAAGAGAGACAAACAGACCGAGAGAAAGAGAATGAATTTGTCTTACTAATCAACTTCATCTTCCGAGAAACTTCCGACACAAAACGACCCGATCAATTGCCGCCCGTGACGACCCCTTAGCTAGCGGGTGAGCTTCCGGGCAGAACTCAGCGTGACAAGAGCAGGTAGTCCCACTTTCTCGAGAAAAAAAAACGGACGTGGATAATTGTTTGACGGGTGAAGGTAGGCGCCGTGGGAAGGAGGGGGGGAGGGGGGAGGCAGAGAGGGCGTGACCTCCCCTACTAGATGAATTTTTGAATTTCTGACCTTGTTTTTATCATCTCCTTTTTCCATCCCCTCCGTGGCACTCTGGCACAGTGCTTGCTGTTCAAGCTACAGCGACCTCATCGTTTATTCTATTGCTCAGCCTATAAACTCGCTGAATTAAAGTGCATCGTGGCATATCATTCATCAGCCTCATTCCCATAACAATAGGCAGTCTATTAAAATAACCACCGCGGCATATCTCCTCATTAAACATCAAATTAATCCCGTTGCGTAATCATTTGCAGTTATTCAGCTTGTCAACAAACAGATTCCACTCCAACCTTGAATTTGCAAATTCAGCAATAAATTTACACCCAATGGTAAATCACTTAATTCTCCAAATGTCCAACGGATTTTTTATTATCCTTTTTTTAACTTTTTTTTTCAAAATCGGTGAAAGCCATTACAGTGTGATGATAACGTAATACTGACTTCACTTTAAAGGGTCAAAGGTCATATCGACGGGCGTGAGGGAGAAGAGGAAGGGGGGAGGAGGGAGCAGGGAGGGGAGGGAAACCTTGCCTCGTTCTCGCTGATACGAGCTCGAGGAATAGGAGCGGGGGAAGGGGGAAGGGGGGAAGGGGGGAAGGGGGGAAGGGGGGAAAGGGGAGAGGAGGAGAGGAGGGGAAATCGGGGACACGACACAACACGACGCCGGGTTCTCGAGCGTCTGCTATTGTCTCTCTCGGGCCCTCCGCTCTCCCACGGCGCTTCCTCAACCACGTGACTTTCCAAAAGAAGAAGAAGAAGAAGAAGAAGAAGTGAGGAGAGGAGAGAAGAGAAGAGAAGAGAAGAGAAGAGAAGAGAAGAGAAGAGAAGAGAAGAGAAGAGAAGAGAAGAGAAGAGAAGAGAAGAGAAGAGAAGAGAAGAGAAGAAAAACAATATATATATATGAAATAAAAATAAATTAAATAAATGAATGAAATGAAGAGGTGAGAGGTAACAGACAGCCTCAAAGAAAACATCGGCGTCGGCAACAAACAAGTGACAAGAAACAAAAGCAAAGAAACTCGTAACAAAAGAGAGACGAAGAAGAAAGGAAAAAGGGGGGGGGGGATAATAACCCGAATGTCAAGAATGTAAGCAGAGGAAAGCTAAACCTAAGCCACGAAGAGGGGAAAAACAGATAAGGCAGAGGACATAAGAGCTCTGACCTAACAAAGGAACGCGACACCAGTTTCCTTGCGTGATCAGGTGTCTGCTCTGCCCCCCCACCCCTCTGCCCCCTTCCCTTCAATCTTTCTAACCACCCCCCGTCCTCTCCGACTTCTAACGCTCCTCTCCTGCTCAACCTCAAACGTCCCTTACTGTATCCCTTCACCCTCTCACCCTTACCCTTCACCCGTCCATCTTTCAGCCTCCTAACGCCTTCCTTCTTTCCTTATATCCTTTCCCTTCATCATCCTCTTTCACCCTCCCTCTTTCCCTTCACTCTTTTACCCTCCTTACCCCTCCCTTTTTCCCTTCACCTTCTCACTCTTTTACCCTCCCTACCCAACCAATCACTTTTCCCTTCACCCTCTCCCTCTTTCCCTACACCGTCCCATCTTTCACCCTCCCTTGCCCCCAACCCTTCCCTCTCTTCCTTCACCCTCTCACCTTTTCCTTTCACCGTCCCATCTTTCACCCTCCCCTGCCCCCAACCCTTCCCTCTTTCCCTTCACCCTCCTTACCCCAACCCCTCCCTCTTTCCCTGCACCCTCTCCCCCCTCTCCCCCCTCCCCTCCCCAAAGCGTTACGTCCTGGGCCTCTGCTGCACCTCACTTTCACAACCATATAGTACCGAGGGAAAGTCGGCCGGGGTTTGTACATATACAAGCAGGTGGAGTCCTATTGTTCCACGACCTCATTTGAGAGTGATATTAGGTGATCGACGTCTGCAGGGGGGGAGGGAGAGAGAGGGAGAGAAGGAGAGAAGGAGAGAAGGAGAGAGGGAGAGAAGGAGAGAGGGAGAGAGAAGGAGAGGGAGAGGGAGAGGGAGAGGAGGAGAGAGAGAGAGAGAGAGAGAGAGAGAGAGAGAGAGAGAGAGAGAGAGAGAGAGAGAGAGAGAGAGAGAGAGAGAGAGAGAGAGAGAGAGAGAGAGAGAGAGAGAGAGAGAGAGAGAGAGAGAGAGAGAGAGAGAGAGAGAGAGAGAGAGAGAGAGAGAGAGAGAGAGAGAGAGAGAGAGAGAGAGAGAGAGAGAGATAAGGAGAGAGAAAGAGAGAGTACAATTACGGTGAGAATAACAGCCCAACGTTCACGACTCTTGCTAATATGCCCATCGTAAGGGTAATTGCGGTTCGCATGGATAATAATTTCCTCATTTAATGGCCAGATAATTGAGTTTTAACGCTGATAGATGGAGTGAAAATTGTTTAACGTGCAGGAAGCAAAACTAAGAAACAGAGACATGCAGGAATACCCCCCCACACACCCCTTCCCCCAAACCCCTTCCTGAGTAAATAAATAAAAAAAAATATGTTGTCATTCCCAACTTATCCTAACATTTACATATTTCAAAATGAGTTTTCTCTTACGAAAACACGGGTTAATAAAGCCTGGGCCCAGATACACCGACTGCCAGCTTTAAAACAGCTCACATTCTAATGTTTTTCGTGAAATCCTGCGCTTGTCAGGCATCGCGACCTTCTTTCCACCGTGTCCGAGAGGCATTGTTTTAGTTTCTATTTGCTCGTGATGACTATAGTGACCTTTGTTTTGAGTCGAACACATAAACCTCGCCAGAAAAAAAGTTAAACAAAGCCAATGCATTTGAATCGAGGAAGTGGAGAGAAAAGTCACCTGTTTACCTACCAGTCAGGCTTCTACCTGGTGCGTGTGATCCCCTGTGGTCGGACTAGGTCATGCCCCTGGGAAGGTTTTTATGACCAGCGAGGTCGATCAGGAGATAAGGGTCAAATCCTCGAGCTGCTGTCAAACGCCGTGATGTCCAGGAGCGGTTAGGAATATTGTCTCCTCGGGGTATAAAGACGTCTAAATTTATCATAAGAATCTTGTCATCTTCAAGCAAGAGACCGGCCTTCGTTTCGCAGGGGAGCGTGGGAGGATTTATCTCTAAGCCCACGCACCGCATTTATCCTGATCTGCCCGTTGATTTACCTTGGGATTCTTGGCATGTGTCTGAGACCAGTGAGGTGGGGGTCATTACCACCAGGAGGCTGACCAGCAGGCAGCATTCAAGCACGCGCACACACGCAATACCCGTCGCGCAACATTGATACAAACATGCAAGCTCGTTACATCAGCTAAAACAAACTTTACAAACTCTGTTGCGCACAATCTATCTGCGATTACATACTATTTCTCTAATGCTTTATCAGTGCACGATAAATTATCGTAACGTCTCCGCAAATACTCTTAACAGGGGAGGGGGGCGAGTTCGGGGTACCGCATGGTACCCGGGCCTATCTGGTGATACAATGAGATAAACCTGTTGGGACTCGGGAGTGGGTGGGAAACCGTGTACTGATAAGAGTCATGTTGATCTGTTATCTATTATTACGTGTCCTACACAGTTATCTGGGCCCGATGTGTTTGCCAGGATCCTGATAAACAAAATGACCATTTAACCTTCCTTGTACATTTAATTAATCGCTTTTGTCGCCAGTAATTCTTCTATTACATTTAAGTATCATTAGAGTATACACCCTGAATATCCCACTGCAATACAAATACATCTCTGAATCTGCTGATCCACTTAAGATGATGATGAACAATATATCGAGTTCATAATGATGACAGCGAGGCCTGGACCTGAATAAAAAAAACTTAAAACAACAACAGCAGCAGAAAACATCGCCAAACCTGTCGCCGCATGTTACAAATCCCTTCAATAAAAGCAACACATTCCCACTTCCTCCCAAGAACCACGCGTTCTGTCAATTGAACGGACGAGAACCGGGCTCAGGAACTCACCTGCTGGAGACGTTGAGGATTACTCATCTACCCTTGTGACGTCACGGGAGAGGGTCTTGACCGAGACCGATATGATACTGTCATGCCCGAATTATCTCCACACGGACTTGGTTCTCCTCTCTCGCGTACTTGCACTTGGCGGTGATTCGACGCGATAATCCACTGAAGGCTCTCGAGATTCGTATTTTCCCCGATTCACCCGCAGCCAAAATCAACAATATGGTTGTGTTGAAATCACCGATGACCCCATCCCATTTTCTTACAAAGGTCAAGAACTGCAACCTCAGGCAACGTTCCCACACCACCATACGCTGCCAACACCACTTACGAGCGTGTCAATCACTTAATTATACATTCCAATACTGCTTTCCAGGGCCTGTTATTCACCATTCCATTAGTAGAGCTTCGCTACACCATTGCACATGAACAAAGTTCCCCGTCCACTGACAGAACAAACTTCAGCCAACTTGACTTACGGGAAGGGCGCCCGCATGCCGATGTACGATGACTACCACTGTGAATCAACACACTCGCAGCTGCGTTTAGGGTTTTTAATCTTTATAAAAATTAACCAACACATTAAGGACATATTCGAGAAGTCATTTAAGTATAAATATGATTAATAAGAGAATGTATTACAAAACACGATGTAAATATCGGTGCTTCGACATCGTTGATGGGAGACGGTGGGATTTTCTCTTCATAGTTCAAACTCTTGGTCCATTTTGACGAAGGGGTTTGTGAAGTACTATTAAAGGACAATTTCAGCGCATACTAAGGGCATTAAACGGCATCAAAGAATCCTAGAAACTGTTTCCATTCCCCTCTTAAAGTCGAACTTGGAAACTAAAAGGAAATAGCCTCTCCTGCAGTTGCCAACTAGACAATTTCAAATATATTTCGTGTTCCTCCTTGATATACCGTACTTTTTCCCCTTCAAATAATATCTAACATCACGAATGTTCCCAACAATAATTCTAATTAGATTGGAAGTACCTTCTATGCAACATTACAGAAGATAGTTTTGCAAGCAATTGAAATAACTTTGAGTCACTCATGTGTTTAGCGCACTCGCTCGGCCTGTTTTAGCGGCGGAAAAAGTTCGCGTCCCACAACAGGTTCATCTATTCTGACAGTTGGGCTGGTACGATCGCGCATTTCTCTTAATATAAAAAGAATACCATTCTCACGTTATGCGCACCGCCCCAAGGATGGCATTAATTTGCATCAATGTCAAATATGCTTTTTCTACTACAAGTTTCTTTAAAGAATTTGTTAATAGACGAAATAAGTGTTCATAACCGTTCATTCATTCTGGTACAGGCGTCCTGGAGGTATGGGGGCGGAGGTAATGGATGTTGATGTGAGCGCATTCTTAAGAACTTAAGAGCTCACATAAAGAATTCAAGGACTTGGAAACTATAAAAAAATAAAGCCTTAAGCATTCACGATCTTAAGAACTCAAGCACAGAAATGACGAATTCGAGACACCTAACAAAGTAACAACTCAAGCATTCGAGAATTAAAGAATCCGGGATCTGGTACTATACGATGACAAGATATTAAATGAACTGTCTCGCCGCTGACTGTCTTATGAATCATAGTTCTGTGCTAGCAACAAGGGTGGGTGTTTTTTCATAGTACGGCGTGAGCTCATGTTTAATATTATGTAGGACATTCATTCATATTCTGTTAGAATCTTTACACGAGCATAAATGAATAAACTGATACATTGATGAACAAATTAAAATGGAGAACACATTTTAATACATATCCTAAAAAGTAATGATATTTTGAAGTCGGTAAGACTGATGGTAACTACTAGATTTATCTGATAAAATAAAATCTATATTGAAATACAAATTCAAAATACTATATCCAAAAATTCATATTCCAGAAAAGAAAATCACATGATATAAAAACACAGAAATTTACAATATGGAATGAAGCGGGAAAGAAAAACAAAGGAAAGAAAACAGGTGAAATAAATAAACACACAGTTATATAAACATAACAAAACAGTAAAACATTCCGGTTAATCGATGGCCTCTCCATTCTCTACCGTTAGCATCCATTCAATTATCATAATCTAACCCCACTATCCAGACTCTACCCCTCCCTTCTCCATCTTATACCATACCCCTCATCCCACCCCTACCCTCCATCTCCCCCTCCCCCCCAAAAAAATACTCCGGATACGCAAAGAAAATGTTAAAAATTGTCTCAGGATCCGCTTATATGGCCCATGACAATTGGGTGAGGAAGGAAGGATATTCTGATAACCGATCTGCGAAGGGAGAAGGGAGGGAAGAATCGAAGGAGAGCAGGAAAACATAAAGGGAGATATGAGAGAGAGAGAGAGAGAGAGGGAGAGAGGGAGAGAGAGAGAGGAGAGAGAGAGAGAGGAGAGAGGAGAGAGGAGAGAGAGAGAGAGAGAGAGAGAGAGAGAGAGAGAGAGAGAGAGAGAGAGAGAGAGAGAGAGAGAGAGAGAGAGAGAGAGAGAGAGAGAAAATGTAATATCAAATACACAGAGATCCATCATATCACCAGCAATTACCACCAACAATGATTTCCTACAAAAAAAAATCACCAACAACAAAAATGAAAAATAAAACGGAAAAAAACAACACAGGCAACACAATAGGACAGTCTCTCAGCAGACGTCGATAACGAACGGAAACGCGTAATTTCGCCGATGGCTGGAAGGGTTCGCCGCGGCCTTGGCTACACTGATCGGCGATGAGCTGGGGGGGGGGGGGGAGCAGACATCGCGGGGACTGGAGGAAGTGATGGTATATTTCGGTGGGATTACACCCGCTTGGCTGATTGCGAGTGGGGGGGGGGGTGGAGGTGGGTAGAGGTGGGTAGAGGTGGGGGAGGTGGGTAGAGGTGGGGGAGGCAGGTACAGGTGGGGGAGGCAGGTACAGGTGGGGGAGGTGGAGGAGGTGGGAAGAGGTGGGGGAGGCAGGTAGTGGTAGGGAGGTGGGTAGAGGTGGAGGAGGTGGGAGGAGGTGGGGGAGATGGGTAGAGGTGAAGGAGATGGGGGTGGGGTGGGGAGGGGGGGGAAGTGAGGAAACAGGGCTGTCATTCCGATGAAGGACAAGGAAATACCCTCCGACTTCCAGTATGGGAAATAAACAAATCATCCGGGCAGTAACTGGCAACCATGCTATTAAGGCGAAGGGGGTTTTCCGAAATGAACCGAAAGCGACAAACCCCTCCCCTTCCCCCCCACCCCCGATACACACACACACACACACACACACACACACACACACACACACACACACACACACACACACACACACACACACACGCACACACACATTCCTGCGTTGCCCAAGGAAGTTTAAACAGAATGAAAAGGACTAGTTACACGGACATAAATTTCAAGGCACAAAGAGAAAAAACGTCTTGCAAGTCGGGAACAATGCAGGAAAGAGAGATGTGGGAACGCGGAGAGAGAGAGAGAGAGAGAGAGAGAGAGAGAGAGAGAGAGAGAGAGAGAGAGAGAGAGAGAGAGAGAGAGAGAGAGAGAGAGAGAGAGAGAGGGGGGGGGGGGGGGGAGAGAGAGAGAGGGAGGGAGAGAGAGAGAGAGAGAGAGAGAGAGAGAGAGAGAGAGAGAGAGAGAGAGAGAGAGAGAGAGAGAGAGAGAGAGAGAGAGAGAGAGAGAGAGAGAGAGAGAGCTAGAGAGAGAGCTAGAGAGAGAGCTAGAGAGAGAGAGCTAGAGAGAGAGAGCTAGAGAGAGAGAGCTAGAGAGAGAGAGCGAGAGAGAGAGAGCTAGAGAGAGAGAGCTAGAGAGAGACAGCTAGAGAGAGAGAGAGAGAAAGAGAAAGAGAAAGAGAAAGAGAGAGAGAGAGAGAGAGAGAGAGAGAGAGAGAGAGAGAGAGAGAGAGAGAGAGAGAGAGAGAGAGAGAGAGAGCGAACAAGGAGGAAGTGAGGACGATGTGGAGATAAAAAAAATACGCCGCGAGAAATGACAAACGATGGGAAATGTGATCTGGAAATGAGGTGTTAAAGAGAAGTGGCAGAGAAAATGGCGGTGAGTCAATATATGAGCGAATAAAATTATGTTTTCGTGGAAGCGCAATTACGAAAGAAAACGGAGAGAACATTGCAGAACATTTTCGAAAATAAACTTAAAAAAGTAAACTCATAAACGCCCGTTCTGACCGCATGCAACCTTGGATATCTCAAATAAAAATACGCACAAGGGAGAGAACACACATGCAAATCCACACTCGAGGCCACGAAGAAGAAAAACACGCCAAGGGAAAAAAAAAATATTGAAGATTTTGGTGGTTCTACTCCCACTTTACCTGTTCCCAGTAAATGTCATGTCATGCGTGTGAGAAGGCGTTGAGGAAGTGTTTGTTGACACTTATGGGGTTCAGAGGCTAAGGCTGGTAGGGGAAGGCGAGAGGGTAAGGGGGGGAGGGGGTTGTGGGCGTGTCCTGTATAAGCACAACAAACACAGTTTCCTTCTGTTTAATGACTTTCAACGGAAGCCCTGTCCGTGGCCGAGTATCCTGTCGTATCCAAATTCCCTTAGTGAATTATGACGTGGGACTTATTACGTATGCTAAATCTAATTCACGCCTTTTAATTACTAATCATAAGAATTCCGAATGAAAAAAAGAACACTGTTCATGACCTTTAAAAAAAAAAAAGTTAATAAAGAAAAACACTCAAAACATTATCTACTACCCAATAATACACACCTCAGAAAAGAAAAAAAAGGAAAAAAGGAAAAAAAAAACACAAGAAAGGAAGTTTCATGTACTACCTCGTCGCGCAAGACAAGACAAGGCATCTGCCAGCTGACGCATGACTTCCTCTCGCAGGTTGTATGAACCTCCACCGTTAACAGGGACACAGCAGCCTAAACTACCAACACATCTGTTAATGAGCGGACTATTACCTAGCTTCAAGATATATGCCTGGTTTCCCTGTGCATTTCGTTTTAGTCGTGTTCGCCAAAGCTTGTATGAAGCTTTCAGTTAATATCAATAAACCTGGAATAAAATAAGCCTACAGTAAGGAAAAAAATAAGACGATGGACGAAAACAAAACAAACACGAACAGAAATCTATGGAAGAGAGCACTATATATCCAGAAGTGTTTTATTATACCATGTACAATTATAGTAGTTACAGAGTACTAAATCAAATATATGTAAAACTGTAATCACGATTGCCCACGCTTGAGCAGATAGCAAGGGTAGTAAATAAACTTATTTGACTTAAGCAAGTAGCAGCGGCAGAAACGAAGACGAACACGCAAGGAAGTGAGGAAAGTAACCCCCCCCCCACTTCGCCCCTCCCTTCGTCCTATTCCCATCGTCGGTCCTTCCTGACCACTTTTCCCTTCCTTCTCACTCACTCACTCACCCATCCATTCATTCACTCACCCACTCACCCACCCATTCACAAC